CTGTGTATTACAGATATTTATAAAATATTATGTATTTTATTTATATAATTTCGTTAATATTTTAAATATAACCAGAGTCGATAGATATACTGGTCTCTCAGCTACCAATAGTGCTAATGCTATGAAAAAGAGTAATGAATATTTCTGCCATTTCGAGCGCTGCAATCGCTTTGCGGCGTAAGTTTGGCTTGAACATAGGGAAAATCAGCTGTAAATATTTGAATTTTTTTTAATATATGAAATTTTCTCGTTTTTAAGTCAGATATTGTTTTTGTCCTTTTTAAAGAACTGCTTGTAAATACTATTTTAACTCTGTTTTAAACACTATTTATTCGTAAATGTCGTTAATATTTATAATTCTATTACCTGTCACTTTCATGATTTTAGACTTAAAATTGATTAGACTTCATTTTTTGCTTACAATTTGTGTTCATTTTTAAATATTTTGGAAAGTTTTCGTTATGGATAAGGAAAGGTGGTAAAAAGTTACAGTTAGGCCTGTATATACATTATTAATATGGGATGCCTTGAGGATTCCCCAAAACTCACTCAATCAGGAAGAAAAAGAGTTGATGAGAATTATATAAATTTAATTATAGAAATGTATAGAAATGTTAAATCAACTGTTAAGATAAGATAGATTAAAGCATTACAAAAAAAAGGGATTTAGGAATTAGGATGGCTTTGGCGTTTTTCAATGTATATTTTTTTATTTATTAATATTAGGTGAATTATTGTAGTTTGCAGTGAGGAAGAAGCTAGAATATATGTTATTCGCAATTGATATTGTCTTTATTAATGAGATGGAGAGAGATTAGAGTTAAGCCAAAAAAAGTTAAGAACAAGTTAGAGAGGGGATTAAAAGTCAGTAGAAAATTTAGCTATTGGATTTCAGATATGAACTGTTAGAGGGGAGAAAGGAATTAGACTTCAGAATGAGTTACAAAATGTAAAAAATGGACATTTCAACAATTTAAGGCCATATTTACGGACAGTATTATTAAATATTGACAGTGATAGCAATGACAAGGAGTCTAAAAGAATGACATGTTACTGTGGTTTTAGTCACGTATATAGGCCTATACAAAATAAGGACAGATGTCAGTTAACCATCAATAAATCTTCATTCATATTCTACTTTGAGCGCAGAATATCTTATAAATTACCAAAATGTGTAAAACCAAATTGTGTGTCATAAGAAGTGTAATTTCTGATGTCAAAAATATAAAACTATATATTATAATATATAGTTTTATATTTATAAAATTGTATATTATAATGTATAGTTTTATTATAATATAAAAATCTCTCAAATATATAAATTATATCTCAAAATTTAATTGCTTCATTGTGGAGTTATAATTCATTTATATTTAGCATTGTTGAAATAAAGTTCACAACTACTTTATTTAGGAAGAAAATTTTTTAAAAAATGCTATTCTTAAGCAGATACGATGCCTCCGGTCCTATTTCAATGGAAGCATTACACAGTTACAGATACAGAAGAAAAATATTAGTAGCAAGAAGTGATATGAGGCTATTCAGAAGGCCGCGGGTGGACATGCTTGCGCGTTAATGCGGTCCCGGTCGTAGGAAACACTACAAAACTCTTCGGCTCGTTACTTTGAGCGACATATTTTTTTTTGTAAATAGGGAATAAGACGAAACGCTTTCCTGTTTACCATAAAAATAGAGTAATGGAATCATCCAGCAGTTCTTTACCCCAAAGTCGAAACTTTTGATAATTACATGATTCCTTCATTTTTATGAAACAGTTTAAACGCATCATCCGTGTTTTTCAATGAAAATATCATTAAAAAGTTTTAGCATTTTGTAAATATCCTTTACATCTCTGTTGACAAAATTTCACAGAGAAGATTAAGACATAAGACAACTCTAGTGTGTATATCCAGTGTACTAGAGCACCTTTAGCCGCCACTCGGAAACATTGAGTGACGTTTCTACTTCCCAGGACGAGGACCTAGGGGTTGGATTTCGGAAGCATTGTTGATGTTATGTGACGATGTCGTTACTGTAACGAAGCGCGATAAGTAAATGATTGGATGCGACGAACAAACTAGATAATGGTTCAATTGTAAATGTTACGGCGATGGGTGTTTGTAAGGATGTGTTGTAATGAAATTGATGAAATCGTCCAAATAATGAAATTCGTGCTTCTTCGCCCTTAATACAGTGGAGCCTGGGTTGCGTCGTAGACCAAACACGTCGATGTCTTTCTATCTTTTCGCCATTCCTCTACAAACACCGCCGTTACGTCGTCAGTCTTTTTTCTTAGGTCATCTTCTATCTTGTCCATCCACTTCTTTCCAGGTCTAAAATTCGTTCCGATTGATGGATTACTACTTACCTGGCACCGAGAACAGCTTATTGTACTCCAAACTGGGTCAGATAGATTGTGTAATCTGTGGTATATCTGTTGCTAAATATCTAACAATTCTGTAATAAATGTAATTATATTAACAACTATATCCTTGCATTTGAGCTCCTGGGATTTGAATTCATTTCAGAAGAAAGTGTGTTTCCAGGCGCTCGAAGTCCGGGCCCTGATGGGAATATATAAATGAGGATGTTTGTTTATTTGTTTGTTCGTTATATACTCCTAGGCCGTTCGACCAATTGTTATGAAACTCGGCAGTCACATTTACATACTTCTGATCAATATAATATCGTACATCCCACTCCAAAATATTTATTGAAGTTCTGTAAATCAATTAATTTCTTTTTACATTCAATTTTCTGATTTACACGTAGCGTTATCTGTTGGCAAAAAATTTAAGAAAATCATAAACTAAAAATAATTCTTACAAAAAAGGTGTAATTTAAAAAATATATATGTGTTACATTCACTTAATTACTGTGTCAGATAGCATATAGCACCACGAGTCAGATTTTTTTCGTTTCTGAACGATAAGCCGTGTTTATTTATGTAGCGAGAGTATAGCGAAAATGACATCACGAGCAGCTATCGCTATACGTCACTGAATTATAGTTTTGAAAAGCTTTCCTCTCGAGCTAAACACGGATGCCGTAATCTGTCATTTAATTCCAGTTACAACCGAAACTAGTGTTTTACTTAAAGAACTATAATACAGTATTTAAATAAAGATGTATACGAGTAAATAATTGAGCATTTCTCTTTTTGAAAATGTGAGCAAAGTAAAGAGATCGTAGATAGATAATTATGTTTAAAATATAGTATTTTCTTATTCTTTAGATAACATTCAGTTCATTTTATAAAATTTAATCCTTCTTAATCTTTCCATAATGTTTTTATCGACAGTCTCTTCGACTTTTTTATTTTCGCACTACAATATCGTTTACACACAAGCGACCATTTTATTTTACACGTGTAGCTGATGTAAAAGTTGCTTTATCTTTGCTGCAACAATTCCTTGCAGCAAACGTTTAGAAACGGTCCGTTACATTATAGCGCTTTATTTAAAAACGCTCTACTGTGTAGCGATCGAGCAGCGTTGCATAAAGACGCGACCATATTTTCTTAAATTTCTATGGCTATTTAAATGTATAAGAGGATGAGCTATGGTTTTCCTAATTATATTGTAATCTATGGTTTTCCTAATCATATGTAATAAAATAAAACAGAAAAATGCAAATACATCTATAGTATTTATTAAACAGATCTATACAGAATATTATGTACAAAACTTTCATTCACCATATGTAGCAATATAAATTAAATCGAAAGTAATTTTATTTTCGATTTAATTTATCTGCATTCTCATCAGTAATTTCAAATTATCATCTTATTAAATTTTTATAAAAATTTATACTTTTTCTTTCTTTATACATAATATAAAACTAAAAAAATGTACTAATAAGATTTTTTTGACAAACAGTAGAAAAAAAATTACAAAATTCCTTGAAAACCGCAAAATTGCCTACCAACCAAATGGAAAAAACATCATCTATCCGCCGCTAAGTGATTCTAGGGTCAGCTATCGGCTATTTCATACTTCATACATTAACTCTAGAACATAGCTCAGAAACCAGTATACGTGGTATCTATCGACTCTGATATAACAAATCGCTTTGAAAAAGTTATCCGATTTTAGAAACAGATGACACTTCTAGTTCCTCCATGCTATAGTGAGTTGGTAGATTTGTACATCTTTTTCCATCAAAAAGTTTATACTTATTTCTACATCTTCCCGGAAAATGTCTAAGATCTAGTTACGTAAACCCTGAAAAATTTCTGTAAAGGCTACCTCTACATATTTAAATATTAATAATATAAGTAGCTTTCACACAGTATTTTATATTGGACTAGATGGGGTTGGCATTATAAGGCAACGCAACACGTGGGCGATCTGACAAGGAGAGTGTCTCCCATGAGGTCTTTTGTGGGAAACTGGTCTCTATTTAGGTATTACTAACGTGAAAAAGGATTTTCTTTACGTTAGTAACACCCAAACCCGGAAAACTCCACGTGGCAGCCCGTTGGTCAGGCGCGAACTCATGAATAACTACCAGTGTTCAGTGGTTTTATCCACTCGGTTACTGGTGAGACAAGTAACGAAGTCATTTTTCGTTCATGCCAGTATTCAAAGATTTTGTTGCTTCACTATGCTTTAAAATAGATTTTGTTGCTTCACAATGCTTAAAAATAGATTTTAAAAAGTCTCTTTCATGAGGATGAATCAGTAAAAAACAATTAATTTTCTGTTTCTGGAGAAGTTTTTTAAAAGAATGATTACTTTTTAAAAATTGAGGTCTTTGACTCGAACCCAGTTCTTCCAAGTAGTAGGTTGCAAATTACAGTAATGTATTAAAAAATAATGTACTTATTTTATTAAATTGAAATTAAAATAATTATATTACTTTAATATACTAAATACAAAAAATAATCATATTAAAAATAATACATTAATTATTATCCTATTACAAAACATGTTATTAAATACGAAATACGAAAAGAAACTTCGATCTGAGTTGGAAGAAAGTTTCATTTCACCAATCATCAAGCGTTAAGCTTAATTGCACATCTGCTATGGAAAACCAAGAATTTAAATCGGCGAAGAGAAGAATCGATCATAATTTCTATAAAATTTTATTTTTAATATTGAGAATCACTCAATTAGTGGGTAACTTGACATTATTTGGTAGCATGTAACATTCTATAAAATCTTAAATGCGAAATTTCTTTTTATACATATACATTCGAACGACTATATAACGAATTGCCTCCGAGAAACGCGTAAAATTCATTATATAGAAATTTTATTAAATAGAAAATGCAACAGTAGTGAATTTTAAAAAACGTATATTCAAATTCCCATAAAAAAATCATTGGAAACATAAATTCGTTATGTAGGGTTTCAAAATGTAGAAATCTAACATATTTTCTACTTATGGTTAATAACAAGCTCTTTTTCACGACCACGGATTCAGGCCTATAATAAGAGATGGCCTCATTCTTCAACAAGCCTGTGTTGAGAGGCGAGGTTTGACATATCTGTATCAAATCTCCCGTACAAATTTGAGGATCCAACCCGAATTCGTACTTGGACCCTCATAATAACAGGCTGACCCCAAAACAGTATGCTTTTTGTAAAAATATTAAAACTTTAAAATCGAGACATTTTTCAGTCTTGTTGGTTATTTTTCAATGCGTAAATTGTTCTGAAATTATTGCAATAAACTTAAACATTAAAGGAGCACATGTATAACATCAAAAAAAAGTTCGAACGCGACGGTGCTATCCCAGATAGTTCAGGCACAAAGTTCAGTAGTTAAATGGGATGATGTGGACATTATCAAGCCAATGAGATCCCCAACATTAGCGGAAACCGCTGAGAAAATAGAGATTTATAAGAGCAAATTAGAGGAGACTTGTATTAACGCGCGGGACGCAGAGGGCCTTCCATCGGCCTGGAAGTATGTTATTAAAAAATCTGCCGAAAACTCATAATTTTCACGTTAATTTTATTGTATTAGTTGATACTTATATTTAGTAGTATTTCTGAGTTTATTTTTATTTTATTCTTTGTTTTTATTATATACAGTAAAACCTGTCTACGGCGACCACCCACGGTTCCTTAAAAAAGTGGTCTTTTAGACAGGTGGTCGTCCAATACAGGTGGTCCTGTAATAACGTATTTTGAGCACTTTTTAGCCATTTCTACTAAGCAAAACTCGAGGTGAGCAAAAATAAGCGAATTTTTTCAACGATAGGGCTATATTGGTATTGTATTTTATTCTTATCGGATAACCCGATTTACAGGAGTCGTCATGATATTATAAGACAGATTTAATACCAATATTTTAAAGATTAATACAATACTCGCATTTTCTCGATTATAATGCACACTTTCTTTTTTCCGACTTAATTAATTCGACTCGGTTCTTTTCGTTCGCTCCTCAGTTACGTGTATTACGTCATCAATATACAAGCGCGTCCTATCTCTCCATCACTTTGCTTTTGGTTTTCGTTAGTTTAATCTTATTTTAACTTTAAAAATACTGTATTTTTTAATATTTAATATTTTCTTAATTAATTAAGTACAATAAGAAAAATTATTAATTAATAATAAAACGATTTTATTATTTTTTCTCATTATACGATTTCATTACAATCGCGGAATCGAAAAAGGAAGTAAAACTGATTTTTGCATTAATGCGTTTATTGTTTTTTGAATATTTTGCCTGCGAAAATTACTTGGATATTATTTTTCTAAAAATATCGTGGAAATAAGGTAGGTTGATACAGAAACTATTTATCGCACGTGTACTGTATATGAGCTTCAAAATAAATAAATAAAAATAGATTTTATCAAACGATGAGATCAGCCGATTAATTGTATCGTGTACAATATTTTACACCCCCAAGGAAAATACTGTAGGTCTAGGGTAAAATAAATTTTGTTTTCCCACAGTTAAACTTCGCCGCTAATTGCTGTTGTGATAACTTTAATACGATCTTCTAACGACAGCACTTTGCATTTCGGACATTTTCCAACAAACTGAAATGAATTTCCTTTGTTGCTAGACTAATTTATTAACACCTGCGCCTAATTTCGAGGGTGGGAGAAGTGCCCGGAATGGGTTCGAACAAGAGTTTAGACTAATTTATTAATTAGGAGGGGAAAATGTTGTTGAGATGGGTTCTTACAATAGTTTAGACCAGATACATTCGCGAAAGTGGTCGCTTATTACGGATGTTGTATGTTGTTTCGGACCAAAAATCGATGCCCGCGGTCGCGTTACACAGGTGGTTGTTTAATACAGGTAACTTATACAAAGACTCTATGGGTAAACTATTCCGTGCCAGAAATTTTTGCCCGTTTTGACAGGTGCCCTTCGAATGCAGGTGGTCGCCTAAGCAGTTTTCACTGTATATCTTTTTTATACATTGCTGGTATATTATCCTTTTAATCCGTTGTCACTTTTTTGAAATTTGAATATTTGTATTCGATCTTGTGGAACGAAATCTTCCAATTGTCCGTTTTCAACCTGACGATGGCCTATGGAATAGGTCGAAAACGTTTGTTTTAATTAAACTTTATAATTAAACTTTCTCGACAACGATAAAGGTGCTTGGTTATTAACTAAACATTAACTGTTACATATTCTAAAATACATTCCAAAATTTGGAGAAAATAATACAACAATGTCGACCTTAACTTTAATTATTAAATATAATGAGTTTCTAAGAACACTTCCGCTTTTATTAATTGGATTTTGCCAGTTACTGTTTTATAGAAAAAATTAATTTAAAAAAAATTCTACAAACGAATTGCATAACATTCCCAGCTTCACCGGGAAAATTTGTAACATGCACTTTTGTCGGACTCAATTTTCCAAAGTTGCGTTGCAACAGGCTTCGCCCCACTTTGAAGTTGCTTTCATTTAGAGTTTAGCCGAATTTATGATGGTCATACCAAATCATACCGATGTCGGAAAGAACGGTCACATAATGAAAAAAGAACCATCTTAATACTCACAGGTTCAAATCTTAGAAAAAGAATTTTTGTGACTACTACGATTAAATATGAATTATTAAATTTGTGCTTGCATTTTTTAGTTTAAAAATAGATAATCAATAACATTTCTTTTCAGATATTTGTAATTTGTGAAATCGCTACGATCGAAGCATCGAAAACGTGCGGCAAATTCTTCACACAATCTTTTATATCTACCTGCATAACCGCTGCAGTGCTTATAGTAACATTATTGTTAAGTTTGTTCTGCAAAATACAGAATTGTCTCTCACAATATTTGATAACGGTATGAATCAATATCTGTTTATAATTCAATTAAAATATCGTAACAGATTGAAGGCCGGCGCGATTATGGAGTTAACCTGCTCGAAATCGTCGAGCAGGTTAACACCATAATCGCGCCGGTACCAGTACCTGCGTTGAAAGTTCAGAAAGAGGATTTCATAAATTATGCTGTTTTGAAATCTATCAAAATGTTTTTATAATTTAAAAACCTAATACTTTCTAAACATATAATGTGGGTAACTTGAAATAATCGTCGGGTTGCGGGTTCGCCATCTCTGGTCTAGGCGGTTAAAGCGTCAGCCTACTGCTGTGGAGACCCGGAATCGAATTTTAGTGTTGAAACCTCAGGAATTTTTACATCGGGCTTTGTTCTTTGCCATCCGGCCGCCCCTATTGTAGACTTTCCAAACTCATGATTAATGTTCCTTCTAATTTTTTTTTTTTTTNAAAAAATTTTTCTGAGCATATATATATAAAATCTTATTTTTTTCTATAAAAATTAAAATAATTATAAAGTAGAGATTAAATTCATTTTAAAACATACTTTTATACAAATTATTATCTCTTGCCAATGATTTAATGTATTTAATTGAAATATACGTAGCAATAATCATGTTGCAGATAGAGTGAGAAATAAGTAAACAACAATTCAAATCGGTGTGCATGCTCTCCTACGCGGCACAAATTCTCGTGCGCGGCCGCGCAGCCGCGCAGCTTAGAGGGAACATTGCTCATGATAAACATGGAGAAAAGGCCTTGGTGCCTACAGGTAGAAAATATTTTTAAGGGGTTCTCTAAGCAAAGGTTTAAAAAGTTAGACTATCGCATGCAATTGTAAAAATTAGATAAATTGAATCTTTAAGTTTTGAATATTCTTGTAACTTATTTACAAAATACTAAAGTTTAATTAATTGAAACAAATTTTTAAAAAAATTTTGTTTGTATTCCTTTAGATGTTTGTGATCGATGTGATATTCACTTTTATATTTGCACACTCCAGCCTCTTCGTAACTTTTAGTATTAGAAATTGTGAAAAATTCAGATTTGAGAAAATTTCTGCGTCCGTAAGTTTCTATATAAAATATTTTTAAAAATTAAGTTGATAAGTGTACTTATTAATGTATTATATTCTATACACAAATAGATTTTCACTATATTGGAATTTTTATGCTTCTATATTTCTTCCTCGGCTGATTTGTGTTGGTTCCGTTCAGTATATGAACCTTATCAAGATTAACTTTAATATTCTTATAAACTGTAATTGTTTCATTGTTATCATAATTTACTGTATTTTAAAAATAAATATTTTAATGAAATATTAATTTATTTGTCTTTGTGAGGATGGATATCAAGTCACTGAACAAATCACTACTTGAATTTCGAATCATCACTTGGAATTGTACAATTTTTTTTTATCTGTCTAATGAAATCCGTGGGACAAGCGAAAAGGGAACACTTTTGCACATGCAAGCTTTTATAAAATATTTTTTTTTATAGAAATTGGATTTACCGTTTTAATAAAGAATAAAGTCTATTCCACTTTCAAGTTATTTGCAAGTGAAATGATGCAATGATGCAAGTTCGCGATACACTGTAATTCGCGCCAATATAGTCTACATCGTTTAGTACATATAGGACTAGGCATATTGTAGATTAATTAAACACAATAAACTCTAGATAAACCAAATATATTCCCATTTATGTCCGCTGAAATATATCCTTTATAAAACGATCTGCGACCTTTCAAAGTTTCGGAACCACTCTTCTAGCGAGATGTGATTAGGAGAACGAACAATATATTCATTCCATCTCTCAACATCACACGGTCGAACCCGTAACGAAGGTTTTCTTTATAGAAACTTGGCTTTTTCTTTCTTTCTTTTTCTAGCAAAAATTATGATTGTATTGCTTCATTCTAATGCAGGAGAATTCTCGTTCTAACGCATTCTTCATTATGAATGATATAAAGAGAAAAAGAAATAGAATGGAGGAAGATCTTTTAAATTCTGTCTGTATCATTAAATCTAACCTACAGTCTAATAATATGAAAGCTCAGTTATATAATCACAACTGAACACCATAAATTAATGAAAAGTGAAATTTTATATAGTAATAAAGAAAAATAATAATCTGTTTGTGTTAAATGAAAGTAGAGATTTCTTTCTTCTCTTTTTCTTTATTTAAGGATTTTAGTTTGTAATTTTTTAATAAATTAATAATATAGTAGTGTTAAAACAATTGTCTACTTTTAATCATTTGTTTTTGTTTCAGTTTATTAAAAACAAAATATAATTTCAAATTTAACTGTATTTTTTACTTAAAACGTTTCGACAAGCTGTGAAGAATTTTGATAGAGTCCGTAAAGAATTTAGTTTCAAGAAAGTCGACAACATGGCCACTTGCAGTCGAGTTTTGGAACGCACCCAATGAGAAAATAGTGTAAGAGTGACGTAAAATGTATACTATCCTTAAGAAACGAAGCATCTATTACGAATTAATTAAAACTAAATGACTGTATTAAAAAATAATATTTTCTTATTACAATATTAATACATTTTTCATCACAGAAGAATTTAAGAGAGAATTATAATTATTCTCGTAGCCACACGAGACGCTTCGAAGTAGAACAAACGACAGAAGCGAAAAGAAAAAAAAAAAAAGTGAATATTCCGAAAATTTTATCGAAACGAAAAAAATTTAATACATTCCCAAATTATTAATAACACTTCAAGAATAAAACATTTAATCCGTGAATAATTTTATTTTACAATTTTCTTAGCGAATATGGTACATTGTCGCCAACAGAAACGCACGCATAGAGAGTAACCTTAAATCGACTTCTATCGATTATTTAATTCGTAGATTAAGATAAGATAAATTTGGTTCCAAAGAAATATATTTTAATAATTAAATATTAATATAGCGAAATTCGAACAGGTAAAAATTATATAAGTAATTTCTTTTTACATAATGGCCATCGACGGTTGATCGAATGTGTTTTTATCTCCAAGGCATATCTTCGGACCTTTGTCAGTCCTCCATTTATTAACTGTCATGGTTTCCTCTCATCGCAAATTTTGAATTGAATTTCTAGACGATAAAGTGAGTATCGGTTTTTATTCTAAAATGCAAATTAATCGAAGAACTGGTTAATTAATTAAGCAAGCCTTCTTTAACAGTTGTATGACGTTTGATTAAATAACAATGAAGATGTGTGACGTCGATATTGTTAGGCGCTCGCGATCAAATACACTAACAATCGCTTAAACAAGGCTTACCAAGTTTTTTTTTTTTTTTTTTAATTTATTGTTTAATACGTAAAGTAATTCACACAATTAAATTCTTGTCGATTCAAATTTTGTTATTGCTTATCGAGTTTTATGTAAGGCTGAATGTAGCATTTACTTTATAAAATCCCCAATTTACTTGATTAATTAATAAACACGCTTGTAAATAAGCTTAATAATTATAAATTGTGTGATTATTTTGAATTGATTTTTAGTAACTTTATATGAAATTTTTTAAAGATTTGAAAATTATATGTATTTTAATTAATGTTATTATTTGATTAGAATTAAGAGATTTGATTTTTAAACGTTTAAGTGTATTTAATTATTTGTTTTCTTAAAATGAAAAAGCTGCTGGATATTTTTTATTTACATTCTTCTCCTGTCACTTTTGTTCTGTGTAAAAAGTAATTATTATAGGTTGGGAAACACCGTTTTTAAATTAATACATATCATAACTTAAAATAACTAATATGACTAATTAAACACTTTAATTTTGCAATATTTACTGAAGTATGGCTTTGTCAAAGATTTTAAAGGTTTTCGGCTGTACCTGGCGCTTTTTGGTTACTGACCGTGGCGCTTTTTCCTGCTGATGTATTGAATCATTTAATATGAAAAAAACTGGGATTATGGGTTATTTTAAATTATATATTTTACAATAAATTGTATGTATTGTTTGAATTCTGCATAAGTTGTGATAAGTGCTGCATTTGGGTATTTTGAAAAAGCTCTTTTTGACAAGAGGGTACCTAATACTTATAAAAAACTTTGAGAAATGCTGATCTAAAATAACAATATTTTAGTTTGTACGAAATTTTTTCTGTTATTTGCTATGAATTTGATTTTTTAACAGATTAAATTATTTTTAAGTTTTATTGCTTTATCTTCCATAAATTATTTATTTCTAACATATTGAAAATAATTTTATTTACATTCAAAAATATTTAAGATTACAATATAAAACTATATTCTTTTTATTTATCTTGTTTGAAAAGTGCATCTAGAGTAGTTTAATAAAAGCTCTGGTTAATGAACCTACAGTAATATCTCGACTTATGCTATCCCGACTTGCGTAACTCCGGGTAGTCCGGAAATTCGCGTGATTTTCAAATCTCGTCGATTCATCTTTTGTTTGAGTGCCACGCAACCCTTGATCACTCACTTCCCCTACACTATTGTTCAGCTTATGTGTTCGGATGTGTCGCGCAGAATCGACACATATCTACAATTTATTTTGTGTTATTTATTTCTGTGTTTGTTATATCTACGGAGACTTGAGAGACTCTACTGTCATCCAAATGAAGTAGAACGGATTCTTCTGCATCAAACAAGAAAAGAAAAACTTTATCTTTGGAATGTAAAGTTAACATTGGCTATGTTCGTAAAGTCGAACGAGTTAAACGAGAATGACGTCATCGTTATTCCTATTTCGTTAGACTTTTCGAACTATTCGTTACTAATGCGTTTAACTCGTTTGTCTTTACGAACGTACCCATTATTAAAGACTTCGATACAAAAATTAAAATTTGTGAATTGGCAAAGAAGTTTGATCTACCGGAATCGACGGTCAGAACAATTATAAAAGGCAAAGAAAAAAGTCTCGAAGCTGTGAAAAATGCTCAATCTTTAAATTCAAGCATCATTCGTAAACGTCACGGTATTATCGCTGAGATGGAAACGATGTTAAAATTATGGCATAATAATCAAGTACAGTAAATGTGAAAAATTGTAAAATAATATAGGCCTAATTTGTTATACATATGTATTATCTAAGATTTTATTAAACATTTTTTTCTAAATTATTGTTTTCTTTAGTCTCCGGCCTCAATTAAAAATTATTTGTATGTACAGGCATACCTCGACTTACGTCGGTTTCGAGTTACGTCGTTCCCGATTATACATCGCTTGTTAAAAAAGTATATGGAAAAATAAAAATCAAGTTTAAGTCATTTTATTCGACTTTACGTCTGTCCGCCACAAATATTGAAGTCGTAATATCACTAGATAAACGTTTAAAGCACATAAAATCATATTAAAATATATACAAGTATGTACTGTATTTACAGTACACGCATTCGTAAATTTAGATTACTTTTTTTGTACTATATTAAAAACTAAAATTTATTTGTTTGTAAGCTTAAAATAGATTTTTATTAACCATATATTATTTAAAATGCTTTCCTAGTGATAAGTAGATTCGGAGACAGGTAAATTCGACTTACGTCGTTTTCCTGGAACCAATTAACGACGTAAGGCGAGGTATACCTGTATTTATATGCGAAATTATACCCCGACTTACACGAATTCGACTTACGCGGTTACCGCTCAGTCCCACCTATCGCATAAGTTCGGGGTATTACTGTATTCAACTTTGATGTAATAGCATCAAAGTTGAATACTCTAATATTCTAATACTTGAATATTCTAATTTTAAACTTAGAAGTAAGAATTAGTAGATATTACATAAAATATGTTTCTTAAATTGGCTTAAAAATTATAAGTACAAATTTCTTTCAGTAGAAAACATTTTGAAAGAAATCTGTTTTAATATTAGTAAATTATATGAATGTAAGAATGAAAATAAAATACATTTTAAAACATAATCTTATGATTTTAACTTTTGACAAATGTAAACAAAGTCATGTCAAAAAGCAGAAAGAGATTAACCTTCATTGCTTATAGAAAAGACTAGTTGTACTCGGCCACACATTGCTGTAGCTCAAAATGTATTTATTATAAATATATAACACTCCCTGCAGAAAGAAATTTCGAAAAAGCCCTTCTTAGTGTATTCTCTTGACGTACCTTATTAAAACACAAAAAACTGCATCTAAAATAGTATAATAGAAGCCGAGTTCTTCACGGTAAGTCTTAATTTTGTCCCTCTCCCCCGCGGGGGTGAATTTTGACATCTATATAACATACAAGTTTGGACACATGCCCTGCATATCTTGCTGATTGCACTGTGCGGTTACCTATCACCTATACATACACATTTTGCCCCTCATCACCCACTGACACCAAAAATATAACACTTACCTAGATGATATCTTTTAATTTATATGAAGATTTAACAGAATAATATACAGCCTATGTCTACCCTGAAGGCCCATTCTAAATACTGGTGAAAGAATTTTTGAAATTGGATGAGTAGTTTTGGAGATTACCTCCTACATCCAAACTTTACCTCTTTATAATATTAGTATAGACTTGATATGTCATTAAGAAAATTGTCTTAATTTAAAATTTTTACAGGTAACATTGAATAGTTAATAATTTTTTAAATAAATTCTTTATAATCATCAGTACGCTAACCCCTGTATAACACGGGAATTATGTTCCAAAAAATTGCCGTGTTATGTGAATCCGTGTTACACGAAACAAAGAACTAGTACGAAAAGGGGGGTTAGGTTCCAAAAATGAAAAAACATGCTATTATATTTTCATAATTAAGATAAATATCTTTATTAAAATTTTCTTAAGTGATACATATTAATATAAATTAAACAATGTTTTCTTCATCATCACTAAGCACTATTAACCGAGGGCATTTTTTTTTTGGCAAGATATCCTTATCCTCTGAGCATTTTTCTGTATTATCTTCAGATCCATGCTCTATCTTTTGCAAAAAATATGTTATTTTAGATTGCTTGCTTTTAATTAAAAGATCTTTATAAATTTCCTTATATGGTGCTAAGCACTTATGAAGAATAAAGCAAGTATGGAATAAGGGAAAACATCTGGCAACAAAAATCAGAAGCGTCAAGATCTGGCAACAAAAATCAGAAGCGTCAAGATCTGGCAACACTGAAACAAGTTTTGAGAAGGATTACTGCATCAACAGAAGGCGGAAAAGAAAATTTACATACTTAAGTACTAATAGTTCACAAAAATAATAATTTTCGCGAACTATTAGTACCTAAGTACTGTATGTGAAAATTTATTATATTTTATGTTGTACGAGGGTTTTACCCAATTTTTGAACTGTGTTAGAGTGCATTCGTGCTATAAAAGCACCGTGTTATACAGGGGTTACCTGTACATAATTGTCATATATTATTATTTGTTTCTTGTTCCATTTCTAGTTTATGATGAATGAAAAAAAAATTGCATTTACTGTATATTCATATACAACATTAATCTCTGCATTTATAGCATAAAAATTTAATACATATGTAAGAACATTACTAAAACTCACCACTATGGTACTTCTAGCATGGCAACAACAAACAAGTATCTTTTGTATAAACAAGTGTGCTACAGCAAAGTTTTGGGTATGAAAAGTGGCCACAACTGTTAAATGTAATTCGTTTCAGTTACAATGATCATTATCATGCTGGATGATGCATTTCTTGTAAAACTGTTCTAGGAAAACAACAGAATGCTGCAGCTGCACTTTGGAAATTTTGCATCATAAGAATTTATGCCAAGGACCATTGACTCCACAGGCTCTCAGGAGAATGATTACTCCATTTGAGGAAATTGGACACCTGGAAATTCAACCCACTCAAAGGTACAAAACCTTTCATTTTACTAGTCAGTGAAAAATGTTGTAGGCTCCAGTAGTGCACATCCAGTGTCATGGTGGTTGGATGTATTCTATAACACAGTGTGGAAGGCACTGAGAAAGTTGATGCATTATCTGTGTAAGATCAGCCACAACCAGCAATTGCTTGCTGTTGACAGGGAAACCTGACTGACCTTTTTGTTGACCTTCCTTGTCAGAATGGAAATGGATTTGTTGTGACCATGGAAAATTCTGTGGAGCAACAAGGCATATTTTCATTTTATTTGGAATGTTGAATAGTTGTA